CTGAATATAAGACGACCGCGTTTTTTCAGATGTATTTCCAAGAAAAAAACATCGTCTTATATTCGGGTCAATACGGTATTTGAAAATCTGGAATCTGAGGGTGCAAAAAAAAAAATCTAAATATTGAGAAAATCACCTTTAAAGTTGTCCAAATGAAGTTCTTAGCAATGCATATTTTTTAATCAAAAATTACGTTTTTATATATTTACGGTAGGAGATTTACAAAATATCTTTACTTAAAGCTGCAGTCCGTAAATTTTGCCGCACACGGACAGGTGCGTGGACTTCCTGGTGGAGGAGCTGAAGGTTGTGGATCGCGCACAAGCACCGAATCGTATTTTCTTCGTATCGGCGAAGGAGGTGCTAAACTCGCGGATGCAGCGGGCGCAGGGTATGCCAGAGACGGGTAAGAGCGTGATCCTAAAGGGATTCTCGAGCCAGCATCACATCTAGCAGAGGGAAATCAGATTCGGGTATTTAAAATAATTGAAATTTCATGCAGATTTTTGTATTTTTATAGATATTGGGTTTATTAACAGACACAGGAAAACACTTCACCTTTGACATGACAGTCTGCCAAAACAGCAGCTGTAAAGCCTTTTATGACAGTCGTAATGTTTGACATTTCAATCTCATTTCAGACTTAAACTGAAAACATGAAAAAAGCATGAAATCACTTCAACTAAAACTTGAAGTGATTTCATGCATGATTTCATAGAGTTTGATCAACTGTAGCAACATTTTAAATATAAGCTAAATATATGTTGTAAACAGCTTGACTTAAGTAAATATATTTTACACAGTGAACATATATTTAGTTTAAGCCTTGAAATGCCAAAATTTGCCAAAAATGGGTACTTTTAATGGGCAAGGAAATAACATTTCAAGTCTTACAGTACATTTTGGGTAAAGCCTGAGGAAGATCGATTGACCGAGACATTGCTCATTATATTAAAATATTTTTTATGTTGATGCAAGCTTAGTGTGTGGGATTTATATTTTTCTAGTAAATTTATTTATTTAGAAAAAAATAAATATATTTAGATTGAAAATATTTTAGTGACATATATATATAGCTATATTATAAATGTATTATATTAAAATATATGTACTATATAAAATATATTTAAATGAAAATATATTTATTTATATATTTATTCAAATATATACATATTTGAACATTTATATTAGTGATATATTTTTTGGTAATTTTTGTGTATTTAATATCTGATTTTTTTATATATATTTATTTTGCATAAAAAAGAAATTCCCACTGCAAGCAATATCAAACAGTACAGTACATGGCTGACTGAAATATTTGTGGTTTGTGAAAGCCACATTTGCAAACTGTCCGAATGGGTAATTCAGACTGAGCGTGATTGTATTGCTAGATGTTGAATTGTTAGTTGTGCTACTGGTTGCCCTAAAGTTATTGGTGGGTTGCACTTAACATGCAGTAAACATAATAAAAACAGGGCATGATAAAGATTCATGTGTATGTATGTGTTTATAGGAGGAGCTTTAGCTGAAGGGTTTCAGGAGCGACTGAAGGAGTTCCAGAACTTTGAGAGATCGTTTGAGGCAAGTGACAAAAACAGTGGGAACTCGCCGGTTACATAAAAACAAAAAAACACCAAAACCAAATTCGTATTTAGTAGGTACCAATGGAATCTACAATAGTAATTCTCAATTTTTTATTAATGTGCATCAGTATTAGTTTCATTAGAACATGTGAAGAGATGTGGATGATTAACTCATGTTTACAGTAAGCAGTGGGTGAAACAGTTTACAGTTTCGTATATGAGCTCAGATCATCTCAGTCCACATAAAGAGCTGATACGATTGTGCTCAGATGTACATTCCCTGCATGATTATATACAGCATGTGACTTTATCAAGCTTGAGCCACTGGAAACTTATTAACCAGCACTAGTTATTTCAGAGAGTCTGGCTCTTGACACACTAATATGCAGGAGGAGATGTTATTCTACAGGATAGAAAATATGTGAGCCTGGATCACAAAAGCAGTCTTAAGTCGCTGGGGTATATTTGTAGCAATAGCCAAAAATACATTGTATGGGTCAAAATTATACATTTTTTTTTGTAAATTTCCTACCATAAATATATCAAAACTTAATTTTTGATTAGTAATATGCATTGCTAAGAACTTCATTTGAACAACTTTAAAGGTGATTTTCTCAATATTTAGATTTTTTTGCACCCTCAGATTCCAGATTTTCAAATAGTTGTATCTCAGCCAAATATTGTTCTATCATAACATCAATGGAAAGCACATTTATTCAGCTTTCAGATGATGCCTAAATCTCAATATCAAAAAATTTACTGATTATGACTGGTTTTGTGCTCCAGGGTCACGTATGACATATCCAGGTCATATTTCGCCTCAAAATCAACATTATATTTTACATAAACAATATTAAGCCTATTACTAGAACTATTAAGAACTAGTGAGATGTTCAAAAGATCCTAATGGTTCTAAAATGGGCTTTTTCTTTAAAATAAACAATATAATTTATTGATTTTGGGGTTTTGTGCTTAAAAGGCTTTGTTAGATTCACATTCCTCATTTAGCAGATTCTTTCATCCAAAGCGACTTACAAACATTATCTAGTCTGATTCTAGACAGGTTTTTGTCTCCTCCTCATATGATTATGTCCAGTATCTGAGCAGCGTTCAGGGTTTAATCTGGTTGAGTTTAGTTAGTTTAACCCATCAGTCTCTCTCCACTGAACCGTCTGTATTCCTCAAACTGTGTCGTCATTGCTGAAGTCTAGATTTACTGAGGCGAGGACATTCGTTTCTTTAGTTCGGTTTGAATTTCTGTTTCACCCACTTCTGTTCGTTTAGTATGGATGAACTTATTTTGCTGTATATTTCAGTTTCTTTTGCTGTGTTCATATAAATGCGCTTTTGTTAATATTATGTTTTTTTTAGAAGAATCGCACAAATACAGGGAAGTCCAAAAATCTGAGACTATATTGAAATCTAGGATTTACATTTATGCATTTAGCAGATGTTTTTATACAAAGCAACTTACAAAAGCAACGAAAGCTGACAATATTTGAAGTATACAATGGCAGGTTGATTTTCTAAAAAAAAAGTGATTAGAGATGTGAGTGTGATTTAAAGAAGAATGAAATCCAGGTTTGCTGTGCTTGTTTTTAGAGCTGCACAATCTGGCCAAACTTTTGTGATAATATTGTGATTATATGAAATAATGATAATTATTATTACTAAATAAAAATATTAAAAGCTGCACAATTTGGGCAAATTTCGTGATAATATTGTGATTATGCAATAATAATGATATTGTTATTATTATTACTAAAGAAAAATATAAAAATTACTAAAGAAAAACAAAATAAGAAATATTGCTATTGGACTAGGGCTGCACAATTAGGCCAAATTGTAATTTTGTGATTATATCAACATGATTATAAATTAATAATAATAATAATACATATTATTACTCAATAAAAATATAAAAAATACTAAATAAAAAAAAAACATTAAAAATTGTAAAAAAACAAAAAAACAAAACGTAGCATATAAATACAATATAATATAATATTTAACTGTAAAATTACAATACTAATTATGGCTGTCTTTATTTATTTTCAAACTTAATCCATTGAACTTGAATCCATTGAAACCCTTAAAGCTTGTAAATGAAACATTCAGTGCAGAAATTTATTTAATTAATTCATAGCCTTTGTGATTTGATAATTGCACTAAGCTACATAATGATTTTGGTTCTATTTCGATTAATTGTGCAGCCTTATTTGACAACTAGACATTTAATTTAAACCCAGTAAATACTAAGACATTAAGAACATTTGTATTAAATTTGATAAAAAGGTGGTGCTTTGAGACTTTTTGACCTCCTATTGTTTTTATGTTTGCCTTTTGTGTTCATTGCAGTGTTTTATTGATATGATTTGCTTTTATGTTCATGCTACTGTGAATGAATTGGAGAGCCGCTGGCGTTTAGGGTTTAGATTTGCTGCAGTTTTTGCTCTTAATTTGTTGTTTTAGTTTCACGCCTGCAGCAGGTTTGAACCTTTAACCCTTTAAAGTTGGCCAAGAAGGCTCCTGTCACAGTAGCGTGTGTGTGTGTGTGTGTGCGCGTGACCTCGCAGGAGTGTATCTCGCATTCAGCAGTGAAAACCAAGTTTGAGCAGCACACAATCAGAGCAAAGCAGATCACAGAAACAGTCAGAGACATCATGGATCAAATCAACATCGCCGCCGCGGACAAGAGGTGCGTCTGTTTCTCTTTACTTTGGGAATATTGTAGCAGAAGACCCAGTACCAGAAGAGCTGATTATTTTGAAGCGATTCGTCTTTGAGATGAATCCAGAAAGTCTTAACGAACATTATAAGTTCAGTTATGAGTATTAATTATGTATATTGGCTTCCCGTGTGATCATCATTCATGTAATAACATGTTTTATGTCTGATCTCAGGGTGGTTTCTCTGGAGGAGAGAGAGTATCTGCTTGACCGACTGGATTTCGTTCGCAATCAACTCAACCTGCTCATCCAGGACATCAAGAAGAAAATCAAGGCCATCACGGAGGAGGTGAAACACAAGGTAAAACTGAGGATCCACTGTTGAGACGGGGCGATAAAATCTTGACTGATTTTAATCAAGTAAGCGTCAGAATAACTGCAGTAATATCTCCAGATGAACACTTACTGGACTGAAGCAGCTCAGCTTTACTTGATTCTCCATCATTTCAATCTCATCTTACTGAGACAGATTACTGGAGATATAGAGTGACGACTGATATTCAGATCATTTTATGTCAGTATCTGCTGTGCTGTTATAAAGATCTCACTGATTTACATCACAAGCAGCAGAATTTCATCATAGAAATATCAGCATCTGCAGAAAACGGCATAATTATGCTCAGTTTGAGTCTCTAAATAAAATTGAGTTGTTTTTTCACCATATTCTCACTATATATGTGACCCAAAAGCAGTCTTAAGTCGCTGGGGTATATTTGTAGCAATAGCCAACAATACATTGTATGGGTCAAAATTATTTATTTTTCTTTTATGCCAAAAATCATTAGGATATTAAGTAAAGATCATGTTCCATGAAGATATTTTGTAAATTTCCTACCGTAAATATATCAAAACTTAATTTTTGATTAGTAATATGCATTGCTAAGAACTTCATTTGGACAACTTTAAAGATGATTTTCTCAACATTTAGATTTTTTTGCACCCTCAGATTCCAGATTTTCAAATAGTTGTATCTCGACCAAATATTGTCCTATCCTAACAAACCATACATCAATGGAAAGCTCATTTATTCAGCTTTGATATGATGCATACATCTCAATTTAAAAAAAATTTACCCTTATGACTGGTTTTGTGGTCCAGGGTCACATATGAGAATATATGAGCCATAAAAGCATGATGGACCAAATATGATACAAAAAAAAAAACAAAAAACACATGCAAACTTTTAAAAAATATATTTTGTCTAAAAAAACGGTTCCATTAAAATAAAAAATAAAAAAGAGAGTCCAGAGCAGTGAAGGATTGATTATGTAGTTTGTGTGTTTCAGGTGTCAGACGCCATGGCAGAAGAGATCTGCCGTCTGTCTGTGCTCATAGACGAGTTTCGTGCAGATTTCCACCCGTCACCACACGTGCTCAAAATCTACAAATCTGTGAGTGTCAGAATAGATCTGTCACAATTAAATGGATGAACACAGCTGACCTATTACTAACTACATTTTTGTATGTTTTTGTATTTGCATCACACTCACAGTGAAATGTTTTTCGTCCAAAATCCTTTACATCGCTGCATATTAAACATCAAATGTAAAAAAAATATATATATATAACAATAATTTATATTATTAAAATATTTTTTAAATTATACTTTGTAAACATATGTATGTATTATTATTATTTTAATTTTTTTATTTTAATTTTTTTATTTAATTTTTTTAATAATGTATTTATTTTTTGCTTCAGAAATCTCATTCAGTACCTGGTCTTTTATATATGTATGAAATGTTTTTTTTTTTTTCATATTATTTATTATTTTAGTTTATTTTTGTAGCTTTAGAAATTATCGTCTCCTTCAGTACCTGATCTGATCTGTTCGTCTTCTGCAGGATCTTCTCAGCCACATCGAGAAGGGCATGGGCAAGAATCTGGCCTTCCGCTGTTCTGATGCAGTAAACGCCTCCGTTCAGTCGTCTCAGCAAAACATGATGGGTATGTGAGAACAGACAGACACAGTGACCTGCGTTTGATATTTAAACACAAGTGGGTGACAATCCTATTAATAGACAATCTCTGATAATGGGTGAAGTGTTGCTAATGTAATTCTTTACAAAGGTTAGTATGTACTTGAGTGCTATTATTCCGTTGGTGTCAATATGCTGTAGCGACGCTAAACCATAAAACCAAACGCTGTATGGACAGTTTATGCAGTGATAAATGTGTGTTTAGTAATCTACCTGCCTATTGTGCTTCCAGAGTGTCTGATGCCTCTGCTGCCCTCTGCTGCCCAGAGCCAGCTGCACATGCTCATTCCCAGCAGGAAGTTTGAGCTCAGCTACGACATCAACTGTGCCACCCTTTGCTCAGACTTCCAGGAGAACATCGAGTTCCAGTTCTCCTTAGGCTGGACTGCACTGGTCCACCGTTTCCTAGGTCCCGTCAACGCCAAACGTGCCTTGATGCTGGTGGATCAGACCCTACCGGTACATAAATCAGAAATCTGCGTTTCCACTGAGATGCATGGAGATGCTTGTGTGGACTTGACCTTCAGCCTCCATGTTTTGGTCTGAATTAGGGATGCATGATATTGGATTTTTGCCGATTTCCGATATGCCGATATTTTTCAACTCATTTTTGGCGGATACCGATATATTTCCTTTTGCTTGGAAACAACAGCAAGTCTCTCCTGTGAGGAAATTATAAACAAATTATTATTAATTTTGGTTAGTTTTTAACAAAAACTTATTTGTTAGAATTAAATAAACAATAATGAGTTTTTTTTTTATAATGACAGTACATTGAAAGCTTTAAAAAATAATTTTAAATCAACTATATATAGTTTATATATATATATATAAATCGCTGCATTTTTTTTTTTTTTTTTCCAGAAAGATGCTGTGGTAACCTTAAAATATTATTTTAAGATTTAACATTTGTAGATGGTCTAAGGCAAAAGAGTTGTAAGAATTCTGAAAATCTTTTACAGCTCATAATTTGTTTAAAAAAACAAACATATCACACATTAATGAATAAATCGATATATGTGACCCTGGACCACAAAACCAGTCTTAAGTGTCAATTTTTCGAAATTGAGATTTATACATCACCTGAAAGTTGAATAAATAAGCTTTCCATTGATGTATGGTTTGTTAGGATAGGACAATATTTGTCCGAGATACAACTATTTGAAAATCTGGAATCTGAGGGTGCAAAAAAATAATCAAAAATATTGAGAAAATCGCCTTTAAAGTTATCCAAATGAAGTTCTTAGCAATGCATATTACTAATCAAAAATTAAGTTTTAATATATTTACGGTAGGAAGTTTACAAAATATGTTCATGGAACATGATCTTCACTTAATATCCTAATGATTTTTGGCATAAAAGAAAAATCTATAATTTTGACCCATACAATGTATATTTGGCTATTGCTACAAATATACCTGTGCTACTTATGACTGACTGCTTTTGTGCTCCAGGGTCACATATATAAAATTATTTAATTTACATGTGTCATGTTTGTGATTTTAATTTTTTTATTCATGTAAGCTATAGCTTCTGACCTTTAAATCAAAACATACTCTTGATTTTATGACATCAATTACTGCTTTATTTAATCAGAGACACAATCTAAATGTTATTTGTGTATTTTACTTCAATTTTATTACAAGTATGCCAACAGCGCCCCCTCAGTAAATATAAAAATAAAAGCCTTACCGGACGGGCTTTAGGACCCAGGTGACTGTTGACTCTCGCACTCCGGAGGCATCATTCTGTACAAGCATTCTCAAGTTAAATGCAGTGATCCAAAATAGTGAATCTAATCATCATTCAGGCAAAAGTTTGCTTCAAGAATGACCACACTGCTGACGTGATTTATTCGCTTGCACACCCTAAGCACATGTGAGTTAATCCACTTATCGGCATAATTTTTCATATCGGGCCGATGCCGATATTTACATTTTAAGCCATTATCGGCAAAAGTTCACGTCAAGAATGACCACACTGCTGACATGATTTAATCGCTTGCACACCCTGAGCACATGTGAGTTAATCCTTTTATCGGCAAGGCATATCGGCATAATTTTTCATATCGGGCTGATGCCGATATTTACATTTTAAGCCATTATCGGCAAAAGTTCACTTCAAGAATGACCACACTGCTGATGTGATTTAATCACTTGCACACCCTGAGCACATGTGAGTTAATCCTCTTATCTGCATAATTTTTCATATCGGGCTAATGCCGATATTTACATTTTAAGCCATTATCGGACGATTCCGATATTGGTCCGATAATATCGTGCATCCCTAGTCTGAATGGAATTTTTTTAATGGTCTATTGTGTTTATTGTTGTTTTTTACTCAGCTGACGGTGCCAACCACCCCTTCGGCCCCAGCAGTGGTTCAGTCTCCGGTCCCCAGATCTCAAGGTCAGAATCAGCAATCACTGACGCAGGAAGAACTCATGATGTCCATGGTGAGCAACCTGGCCTCGGTCACTTCCCGCACGTCTATGAGCGTGATCATCGTTGGAGGAGTGGTGAGAATTATTGCTCGTTAATGCTTTAGAATAACTTTTATTTTATATTATTTATATTATATTATTATATTATATATTATTATAGGTGACAGTCAGATGTCCACTTCCTGTCTAATTGGGCGGTTCCTGGCCAGAATAGGCTGCAATGAGCTTGATTCCTAAATTAAGAAATACTTATGCCTTGTGTGAAGGTGTGGTCACATTAGCACAGTTTTGTGGGCAAAATTGTCCATTGTCTATTGCGAATAGTGTAGCAATATATGAAGTCGCTTCAAACCAAGCAGATGGGTGAAAGAAATACATAAATGATGAAGAAAGCCAAAATATTAAATGTCATTGGGGGGGGGTCAAAATTAAAATTTTTGCCTGAAATTTGGAGCAAAATGACTGTAGAAAGACAGCATCATTGTTATTTTTACACAGAGATTGGTAGCTGTATTAGTAAAATCTGTTGACTGTAGCAATCTTTGTTACATTACATGTCAATGGTGACAGCTCAAAAATGGGAAAAAGTACTTCTCACATTTCCCCCCCAAAGTTTGCATGCCTGTAACTCAATTGAACCATATAGAGTCTTAAAAATTAAAATTTGTTGAACCAAAATCTAAAAGGATATTAAGGTATATTTAATACTTCTTGAGTTACAGCCATGCAAACTTTGGAGAAAAGAAAACAAAAAGTGCTTTTTCCCAGTTTTGAAGGGTTACCATCGGCATATAATGCAACAAAGATTGCTAAAGTCAACGGATTTTACGAATAGAGCTACCAATCTCTGTGTAAAAATAAAATAATGATGCTGCCATCTTTCTAAAGTTATTTTCCACCTGCTGTTATTTGGCTCCAAATCTCATTTTGACCACCTCTACAAAATAATGGATTACTCAGTAAATATTCATCCATGGCATTGAATATTTTGGCTTTTTATGTCTTTCTTCAGAAAAAAAGATTAAATTTTTTTTAGCCAGGTAGGTTTCTGAAATTTGGTTGATTTGGCACAGAATGACCGAGCTGTGAATTTGCGAAACCTGTGTGGGAAAATCTTTTGCCCTCGTGCGAAATTCCAATCCACCCACAAAACTCCCAGAATGACAGTAAATGTGACCTTAACTTCCCATGAGTGTAAATGAATGCATTGTTATTAAAGTTCATCTCTATATCTTCTGTTAGGTGTGGCGAACAGTTGGCTGGCGTCTGATCGCTCTCTCCATGAGTCTGTATGGCATGCTGTACCTGTATGAAAAACTCACCTGGACCACCAAGGCCAAGGAAAGAGCCCTGAAGAAACAGTTTGTGGATTACGCCACAGAGAAACTTCAAATGATCATCAGTTTCACCAGCTCAAACTGCAGCCACCAAGTGCAGCAGTAAGTGTTTACATCAGAGTCCATTTGACATCAGGGTTTGGTCTGTGATGAAGTTGTTTACCATATTTGGATGCAGAAACACCAATATGAATATGTTTATGCTCTATGTGGACTATACAGTCGTTTTGAGATTAATACACTGCTATTGACTCTATACACTGCAGCTCAAGTGCAAGTCTGTGCATGCAAGTAGAAAATAATGTTAAAGTGTTCTTGTGTGTCTGATAAAGAGAAATCGGCAGCACATTCGCTCGACTCTGCCAGCAAGTCGACATCACCCAGAAGGACCTGGAGAATGACATCCAACGCCTCACTGACAAGATCCAGAAGCTGGAAAGTGTACATAAGCGATCCAAAGCGCTTAGGTCAGTGTTGGGGAGCAACTAGTTACATGTAACGGAATTACGTTATTTAATTACAAAATAAATGTAACTGGAATTAGTTATAGTTACTGAGAAAAAATGTGTAATTAAATTAGTTACTTAGGAAAATTTTACATTCGGAATATTTTCACACACATACAGATTTGATTGATTTCTTTCATAAATTGCACTGATTGCTCTAAAATATGAGACAGCAATGTTTCAGGAGTTTAGGACACATGCTTATTCCATAACTGTTTTATTTCCCATTTGGGTTTATGTATATGCTCACTGATCTATAATAGAAAACATTTATTTAGATCAGTGTATATGCTTTATTTTTTTTGATTTCAAAAACGGTATCATTGCTATTAATCTGTATCTTATGACTTTAAACCTGTATTTAACCACAGAATGATCTCGAAGTAAACATAGCTGTTAAAGTCTGATTCTGTGCTTTAAAATTAATTTATGATAATCTTAATTCAAGTGAAGAAGGATTCTGAAAGTCTGATAGTAATCAGTGTTGAGTTCTACTGTAAAGTTAACCCTGCCTGCTTTACATGTTTGAAAATGATTAACTTTTGAAAACATTTGTTACAAATTTAGAAAAGTAATCGAATGTAATCAGTTATATTAATAAAGTAATTGAAATTTTAAATACGGTAACTTGTAATCTGTAACCTATTACATTTCCAAAGTAACCTTCCCAACACTGGTGTTTGAGCCATTGATTTAGACTCCATATCCAGTTAACAAATGCATCTTGAGACTTCTGTATTTCTGTCAAGCTTTGAGTTGCACCTTAAAAATGTGAAATTTTCCACATCTCTTCTATCGATCATTTTGAGGCGTTTGTAATAATGGACACATTTTCTTTCCTAGACATAAAGCCACGGCCCTAGAAAAGCAGTTAGAGGATTTCAGCTCCCAGTATCTTCGTCCTCAACCCTGATTCTGTTCACACGGATACACTGGCTCCTTCCAGAGAGTGATGTAACTCCTGAATACTGTTACGCCCTGCTGTTTCGGGAATTCTCAACTCACCACCAGATGTTGCAAGGAATGCAAGGGGAAAAAATGTTACTAGTAGTTAACACTAAAATGTGTATTCTTGAAGTAAAGGTGGTTTCAGTGCGGTTTTGGTTGAGGTTTTCCTGTACAGAGATTCAGTTTCACTGGTACTGAACTTAAAAACACTATTTTGTGAACTGTGAAGCTGCCCTATTAAGCAAAACATGAGGGTAAAAAGCTGGAATTTGAAAATGGAGTCAGTTTTGCTGTTCAGGTTCAGCCTAATGGAGTCAAAAAAAATTTCATACTTATACTCTGCCTTTTTCACAGAGCCTTTTTATTCAGAAACAGTTCATGTCATCAGACAGGGAATTCAGATTTTGTAGATTTGCCTTTTGATCACAAAGCCTATTTTCTATATGTTCCTTGGTAGCAGTTTGAATCAGTATAACCCAGTGTTAAAATTCTATTCTATTTCTAAACGTATGTAAATGTAATATCCTGAAAATAAGTTTCTCCTGTGTAATAAAAAAAAATATTATAAAACATTACTAAATTGTTGTATTACTGTGTTAAAGAAACTCTACATTTTCTTATGTTTGGATATTACACTATTAATCCCAGTAAAGAACTTTTACAGATGGACATCCGAGGTTATTGACGGCGTTGCAAAAACTGCTCACCTTCTGAATCCAAATGTGTCACTTTCACAAGTTTGAAGACTTTTCGTTTAGGGCGGCTGTCAAAACAAGTCGTCTTTGGTTTTATTTTCAAATATAATTTTATTCAGGGCAATCTTACAGTATGTATAAACCATGTGTCAAAAGTCTGTCAGTTGACCTTTGCTCCATGGTTGCCAGGTGTTCATAACAAAACTGGCCCAATGGCTTTCAAGGGGGTCCCCAGGTAAAAATCGCGTTCTGGGGGGTAAAATACACGGTTTTTGGCGGGGTTCGACTAGTAAAATTCGCATTTTAGGAGCTAAATATCACGTGATTGGGGTCGCTTAAACCCGCGGCAACAGTGTTAAAGTAGCCCAATTCCGCGGGAAAACCGCGGACTTGGCAACAGTGGTTCGCTCGGACATTCGCGGGCTTTTTAAATCTAGAGCGCGCGCCAGGATTATGAGACGAAGTGGCGCGAATTTCTGAGGTAAGTTCTCGCACAATTATATCAGTGATTTTTGACATTAAAATTAACATATAATAATGGCAACATAACATTAAGCTGCAGGTTCTTTACAAGCAAGATTAAAGAAAAACAGGACGATCTTCGAATATAAGTGACGCTGTGGACCGAAGTGCATTATTTTCGCTTCTCTCCTTCCCTCAAAAGATAGTTTACTTTTAAGTGAAAACGCCTATGAAAAACCATTTACAACTGATTAAATATTTTGATCAGTCTTGTTTTCAGTTGAAGACGGCATGTAATATAACTTTCCCAAGATATACAGCCCTAACATCCATATTCAAATATAATTACACAAGTTTAAGAGACAAATCAATCCGAACACATTAAGATGTGGTTAAAAGTCTTTTTATTGGTTACAATATCAGTGTATGGCAGCATTATCACCAGGTTACTTTACAAATACGAAGAAGTTGAGAAACAAAATGTTATTAAATGATTATTTGAAAATATGGCACTGTGAAAGTACACAAGGCACCACACTCCTGGTTTTATTGGCTCAAAGAAAGAAGAAGAAGAAAAAAAAGATTATGAAGCTTACAAATCGAGCCAAAAGTATCTTATGAATACTTAAAACATCGGGGTTCTAACATGTACTGTAATACTAAAAATGTTCTTTTGTTGCCAAGTTTGAGTGGTTTGGAAATAATTGGGAAAAAAACCCTAAACGCATTTGGAAAAGTCATCCATGGTTTTCATTAAAGCTCTGAAAGACTACATCAGCATTTCAGCCACTCTTACAGCACTCTTACGGCAGCTATACGTTAAATTTCAGCTGATCCAGAACCAACCACTCAAATCTTCAACATGATCATAATAAAACAACCACAAAAAGAATCACTGATCGGCAATCTTGCAACCTCTACAGTACCAACAACAGAAATCTGACTTAAATCTAACCAATACTTATAATACCAGGTTTAAATTGAATTCAAAGTGACTTCTAAATGAGACATTATTACCAAAGACATCCCTTTTCACAGTTAATCATCATAAAATTCAGCAAAAAAACATAAAACTAAAATCAATTCCTTTATGGAGCAGTGAAAGGGTTTTTATTTATGCTAATAAGCATCTTCATACTGAAAAAGGACTTCTTACAGAAAAAAAATACATATTTTAATACCTCAAAGCTGCATTCCGATTCCCTTTTATATAAAAAGGTAAAGTAAAAGAAAGATTTTAAATGCTTTTCACAGTTACACGACATGTTAAAAGCATTAACAATGGCACAAATATCACCGTTTTAATGAGGCTTGTTAAGCTGGTTACTGACACGCATCTCAAACCAGCATCAATCTGGCAACCGCAACAAACACAGGCATACTGTCAGAACCGATGGCACTTAAATATGGCGAAAGTGAGTAAACCGCTTCATCACTCTGGTCTACGTTTTTTGATCCATAGAAAAATGAAGCCTAATATAGTGACTTGTCAGCAGTTTAACTATCCTGACCAGGTAGTGTTCTTCATTTCCACCTGTATGCACACATTTACATGCTGAAATTGAGAGATCGCCAAAAAAGAAAAAAAAACTTAGTCTCCGCATTCAAATGAATTAACACCAATAAAAATATTTATACTGTTTTCAAGACGTTCCATCTTTGTAACACTGCGACATTTAAATTTAAGAGGGTTCTATTTCAAATTTTAAAATCGAAAAAGCAAATGTTATGAATTCATTCGAAGCACAGATTTCTTTGCAAGCACCAAGAATAGGAATTTATACACTAGGATTAGTTATATTGTGATCGCTAGTATTTAAGGTTGAAGTTCAAGGGCAGATCGATTATGAATTTTATCATCAATCAAAAGCAAAACTCCTAAAAACAAGGCGTCAAAATGCTTCGAATTAAACATTCGATCTCAAGGCTGCGAGAAAATTCAGTGCCTTCTTTTCAAACACACTCAAGCACCAATAAATGATGATTGATTTAGTGGCGTGTAAAAAAAACCCAAAAGGTTTTCATCTGCATAAAAAAAAATCCATGCGTTTCACGCTTTTGTTTTCCAATGCACAAAAACGTCACAAACTTTTTGTAATACAGATGATCAACTAGAAAAATATATACATGAACACTATGTATGTATATACTATATGGTATATACATACACATAATGCTGTACATATATACCATATCTATATTCATATACATGAATATTTACATATTACACAATGACACTTTAATAATCTCTTCCTATAATTCCTGTGGCCGGCAGTGATGATTGGTTTCTCCACGGGATTCATCTACTTACTGAACATCATGTGTAATAACTGGAATACAGAGGAACTGCTGTGGAAAGACGTAGAAAGGGACCGAAGGAAAAATAAACTTAAAAAAAAAACAAATAAAATAAATAAAATAAAAAATATCAAAAATAAAAATATAAATAAACATAAAAATAAATTAATAATAATAAAAAATAAAATTAAAAAATCATAAAAATAAGTAATAAGATAAATCAAATTATAAATAAAATAAAAGCAAAAGTCTAAAATAAAATAATAATAATACAAATAAAATAAAATAAAAAGTACAATAAAGCAAACAACAAAAGTTAATAATAAAAGTAAATTATAAATAAAATATGCAGAAACCCTCCCCCTATAAAAACACATTTTTATACGTGTAATTTTTGGCATAAAGGAAAATCTATAATTTTGACCCATACAATGTATTGTTGGCTATTGCTACAAATATACCCCAGCGACTTAAGACTGCTTTTGTGCTCCAGGGTCACATTTACAGCATTTTCACACTTACATTTTCAAGGGTAGTGAAAAAATGTTTTGCTCTTGCCTGCACGTTCGCCTTTTAAAGTGTCCCAAACATTGCAATTGAAGTCGTCGTATCCGGCCAGCAGGAGGCGTCCACTCTTGGAGAAGGCCACGGAGGTGATGCCGCAGATGATGTTGTCGTGAGAATACATCATGAGCTCCTGATCCGCACGCAGGTCAAACAGCCTGCAGGTGGCGTCGTCTGAACCCGTTGTGAAGGCATTTCCATTCGGAAAGAACTGCGAGAGTAAACAACCGAACTCAATACAACTGCCCATGTAGAGGAGCTTCTAGGACACAATAAACGCCGCCCGATTTAAACAAACAGCAAGCGTAATTTTAAAGGGGTCCTATTATGCTTTTTCACTTTTTCAACTTTAGAACCTAGTATGAGAGCCTGTTCTAGTACACCCCCAAAACAAAATCAAGACTTTGTGAAAGAGCATAATAGGACCCCTTTAAAAGTCGATTGAAATACTTACGCAGACGGCATTTATATCCGAGACGTGGCCGGTGAAGGACTGCCTGCACATCCCATCTCTGATGTCCCACAGTTTGGCAGAAGCGTCGCAGGCTCCTGACACGAACGTCTTTAAGTCGGGACTGACCGACAGACTCATGACATCACCCGTGTGTCCCGTGAAACTGGTGGTCTGCTGGCCCGTCTCAATGTCCCACAATGCACTGAAGGAGCAAAGTTAAACATGGAGTCCATTTCATTTCAATCAAAACCAAATGCTTTTAATTCAAAAACAACATGAAATAACACCTATTATGCATTTAACATTGCAATAAATATTTCCTGTAGCAAAAGTAGAGCATGCCGATAGCAATGTAAAGGTCATGGGTTCGAATCCTAGGGAATGCATGAGCTAATAAAATATATACCTTAAATGCCAGTCACTTTGGATAAAAGAAAATAAATGATAAAATATACAATTAAAAAATAAAACAAAATAAATAATTTTTAAATAATCAATTTCAAACAGAAATTTAACTAAAATATGTACATGCCAAATAAAGTTAACACCGCATACACCATTTATCCCTTGACATACTAATGCTACACAATAATCAGTTTAATTATTATTATTGTATGTAACATTAACTCACCATGTGGTGTCACCAGAGCTGGTGATGATCTGATTGTCATCAAGAAAACGACAGCAAGACAGATAGCCTACAGAATCATTAATAAAAAAATAATAATTTAGGTCTTTCATTGATTAATTATATATTGTATGAAATGCCATACAGAAAGAACTGTTTTAGAGCAGGGTTTCCCAAACTGAAGTTTGTGAGTTAGCTAAGGTCATAATATTTAGTTAATTAATACTTTATTAAATCATAATGTCAAATTTAAATACATAATTATGTTTACATATAATATAAAATACAGAATTGTATTAAAACAATTTCTGGTCAAAAGTTTGGAATAATTAGAATGTTATAATGTTTTTGAAAAGTCTCTTCTGCTCATCAAGGCTGCATTTATTTGAAATGTCAGTAATATTGTGATACTTAAAATAACCATTTTCTATTTAAATATATTTTATAATGTAATTTA